CACCTTTCGTTTTCCATAGCCTCCTTGTAGTTTTCAAAGGCCTCTGCTTACGGCTTATAGTTTTCAAATGTCACCTCCCAACGAGGCACAGAGCACCACTACCTTTGCTACTGCGACCTTTTGAATATCTCTTGAATCTCTGCCCTTTTTCCTCTCTAATATAAAAAAAGGAACGATTATAAGAGCAGGTTAAAAGTCGTCTCTTTAGCTTTAACCCTCTAACTCCGATTCCCAACTCCCAAGCAAACTTTTTCCATTTCTTTCCTTACTCAAAAAACACCCTGAAAACCTCATCATCAACGTAAAAAAACAGGATAAAAAAACATGGCTTCCTTTACCCATATTTCCACGTTACTTGTTTTAGTTTCTTTCACTATATTCCATCACTCTCTCGCCGGTTTTCTAGCTCAACCGGTGTCCGGTCATGACCTGCCTTTAAAACCGGGTAACTACTCATCCCCAAATACGGTCCCCGCATTTCCAGTTCAAACCGAAGCTCAGGTTTGCCGGCTCGACCTGTCAGCCGAGCTATTCGGCGGCGTCAGCGACGCCTGCGGCCACAACTTGGACAGGAGCCGCTGCTGTCCCGTATTGGCAGCTTGGCTCTTTGCAGCTCACGCCAGGTACGCTCTGGAGGTGTCGGCTCCGGCTCCAGCGGAATCGGAGCAGCCAGAGCAGCCCATGATGCCGGATGATTCGCAGAAGTGTGTGAACTCGTTGCAGAACGCATTGTTAAGCAAGCGCGTGCGGATTCCTCAGCCAAACGCGAGTTGCGATGCGATTCTATGTTTTTGTGGGATAAGGCTACATCAGATTAGTTCCTTGAGCTGCCCCGCTGCGTTTAATGTTTCCGGGTTCCGAAACGCGACACCGACAGCTTCCGTGAGGAATTTGGAGAGAAATTGCCAGAACTCTTCTTATGCTGGGTGCACCAAGTGTCTCGGTGCTCTTCAAAAGGTAAGCAGTAACAATGAAAGTTGTTTCCTTTTTTGGTTTATGTTTTGGCTAGTTTATCAATCAGACAATAGAAGTTCATGGGAATGCATTAATTTTGAGCTCTGAGTCTTTTGATCTTTTTTCTGGGAATGTTGTCTTAAAACTCGTTTTGGT